ACCAAGGATGTTGTGGATGCCATTGACCGACATTGTTATCAATGAAAATGTGACCAAGGATGTTGTGGATGCCATTGACCGACATTGTTATCAATGAAAATGTGACCAAGGATGTTGTGGATGCCATTGACCGACATTGTTATCAATGAAAATGTGACCAAGGATGTTGTGGATGCCATTGACCGACATTGTTATCAATGAAAATGTGACCAAGGATGTTGTGGATGCCATTGACCGACATTGTTATCAATGAAAATGTGACCAAGGATGTTGTGGATGCCATTGACCGACATTGTTATCAATGAAAATGTGACCAAGGATGTTGTGGATGCCATTGACCGACATTGTTATCAATGAAATGTGACCAAGGATGTTGTGGATGCCATTGACCGACATTGTTATCAATGAAAATGTGACCAAGGATGTTGTGGATGCCATGACCGACATTGTTATCAATGAAAATGTGACCAAGGATGTTGTGGATGCCATTGACCGACATTGTTATCAATGAAAATGTGACCAAGGATGTTGTGGATGCCATTGACCGACATTGTTATCAATGAAAATGTGACCAAGGATGTTGTGGATGCCATTGACCGACATTGTTATAAATGAAAATGTGACCAAGGATGTGTGGATATCAATTGTGTGAAATGATGTTGTGGATGCCAAGGACATTGTTTATCAATGAAAATGTGACCAAGGATGTTGTGGATGCCATTGACCGACATTGTTATCAATGAAAATGTGACCAAGGATGTTGTGGATGCCATTGACCGACATTGTTATTATAAAATGTGATCAATGAGTTTGTGGAATTGACCGACATTGTTATCAATGAAAATGTGATGATGTTGTGGATGCCATTGACCGACATTGTTATTGAGAATTGATCAATGAAATTGACATTGTTATCAATGAAAATGTGACCAAGGATGTTGTGGATGCCATTGACCGACATTGTTATCAATGAAAAGTGACCAAGGATGTTGTGGATGCCATTGACCGACATTGTTATCAATGAAAAATGACCAAGGATGTTGTTGTGGATGCCATTGACCGACATTGTTATCAATGAAAATGTGACCAAGGATGTTGTGGATGCCATTGACCGACATTGTTATCAATGAAAATGTGACCAAGGATGTTGTGGATGCCATTGACCGACATTGTTATCAATGAAAATGTGACCAATGATGCTGTGGATGCCATTGACCGACATTGTTAGTTTGAAAATGCCAAGGATTGGATGCCATTGACCGACATTGTTATCAATGAAAATGTGACCAAGGATGTTGTGGATGCCATTGACCGACATTGTTATCAATGAAAATGTGACCAAGGATGTTGTGGATGCCATTGACCGACATTGTTATCAATGAAAATGTGACCAATGATGTTGTGGATGCCATTGACCGACATTGTTATCAATGAAAAATGTGATCAATGATGTTGTGGATGCCATTGACCGACATTATCAACGAAAATGTGACCAATGATGGATGCCAAAATTGTGACCGAAAATGTGGATGTTGTGGATGCCATTGACCGACATTGTTATCAATGAAAATGTGACCAAGGATGTTGTGGATGCCATTGACCGACATTGTTATCAATGAGAATGTGATCAATGATGTTGTGGATGCCATTGACCGACATTGTTATCAATGAAAATATGACCAAGGATGTTGTGGATGCCATTGACCGACATTGTTATCAATGAAAATGTGACCAAGGATGTTGTGGATGCCATTGACCGACATTGTTATCAATAAAAATGTGATCAATGAGTTTGTGGATGCCATTTGACATTGTTATCAATGAAAATGTGACCAAGGATGTTGTGGATGCCATTGACCGACATTGTTTTATCAATTGAAATTGTGATGTGACCAAGGATGTTGTGGATGCCATTGACCGACATTGTTATCAATGAAAATGTGACCAAGGATGTTGTGGATGCCATTGACCGACATTGTTATCAATGAAAATGACCAAGGATGTTGTGGATGCCATTGACCGACATTGTTATCAATGACCAAATATTTGTGGATGCCATTGACCGACATTGTTATCAATGGATGCCATTGACCGACATTGTTATCAATGAAAATGTGACCAAGGATGTTGTGGATGCCATTGACCGACATTGTTATCAATAAAAATGTGATCAATGATGTTGTGGATGCCATTGACCGACATTGTTATCAATGAAAATGTGACCAAGGATATTGTGGATGCCATTGACCGACATTGTTATAAATGAAAATGTGTCCAAGGATGTTGTGGATGCCATTGACCGACATTGTTATCAATGAAAATATGACCAAGGATGTTGTGGATGCCATTGACCGACATTGTTATCAATGAAAATGTGACCAAGGATGTTGTGGATGCCATTGACCGACATTGTTATCAATGAAAAAATGACCAAGGATGTTGTGGATGCCATTGACCGACATTGTTATCAATGAAAATGTGACCAAGGATGTTGTGGATGCCATTGACCGACATTGTTATCAATGAAAATGTGACCAAGGATGTTGTGGATGCCATTGATTGACACATTGTTATCAATGAAATGTGACCAATGATGTTGTGGATGCCATTGACCGACATTGTTATCAATGAAAATGTGACCAAGGATGTTGTGGATGCCATTGACCGACATTGTTATCAATGAAAATGTGACCAAGGATGTTGTGGATGCCATTGACCGACATTGTTATCAATGAAAATGTGACCAAGGATGTTAGGATGCCATTGACCGACATTGTTATCAATGAAAATGTGACCAAGGATGTTGTGGATGCCATTGACCGACATTGTTATCAATGAAAATGTGACCAAGGATGTTGTGGATGCCATTGACCGACATTGTTATCAATGAAAATGTGATCAATGAAATTGACCGACATTGTTATAAATGAAAATGTGATCAAGGATGTTGTGGATGCCATTGACCGACATTGTTATCAATGAAAATGTGACCAATGATGTTGTGGATGCCATTGACCGACATTGTTATCAATGAAAATGTGACCAGGATGTTGTGGATGCCATTGACCGACCGACATTGTTATCAATGAAAATGACCAAGGATGTTGTGGATGCCATTGACCGACATTGTTATCAATGAAAAATGTGACTAAGGATGTTGTGGATGCCATTGACCGACATTGTTATCAATGAAAATGTGATCAAGGATGTTGTGGATGCCATTGACTGACATTGTTATCAATAAAATGTGACCAATGAGTTTGTGGATGCCATTGACCGACATTGTTATAAATGAAAATGTGACCAAGGATGTTGTGGATGCCATTGACCGACATTGTTATTGAAAATCAATGATGCCATTATGACCAATGAAAATATGACCAGGATGTTGTGGATGCCATTGACCGACATTGTTATCAATGAAAATGTGACCAAGGATGTTGTGGATGCCATTGACCGACATTGTTATCAATAAAAATGTGATCAATGAGTTTGTGGATGCCATTGACCGACATTGTTATCAATGAAAATGTGACCAAGGATGTTGTGGATGCCATTGACCGACATTGTTATCAATGAGAGAATGATCAATGATGTTGTGGATGCCATTGACCGACATTGTTATCAATGAAAAAATGTGACCGACATTGTTATAAATGATGACCAAGGATGGATGCCATTGACCGACATTGTTATCAATGAAAATGTGACCAAGGATGTTGTGGATGCCATTGACCGACATTGTTATCAATGAAAATGTGACCAAGGATGTGTGGATGCCATTGACCGACATTGTTATCAATGAGAATTGACCATGATGTTGTGGACATTTGTTATCAATGAAAATGTGACCAATGATGTTGTGGATGCCATTGACCGACATTGTTATCAATGAAAATGTGACCAAGGATGTTTGGATGCCATTGACCGACATTGTTATCAATGAAATGTGACCAATGATGTTGTGGATGCCATTGACCGACATTGTTATCAATGAAAATGTGACCAAGGATGTTGTGGATGCCATTGACCGACATTGTTATCAATGAAAATGTGACCAAGGATGTTGTGGATGCCATTGACCGACATTGTTATCAATGAAAATGTGACCAAGGATGTTGTGGATGCCATGGATGACATTGTTATCAATGAAAATGTGACCAAGGATGTTGTGGATGCCATTGACCGACATTGTTATCAATGAAAATGTGACCAATGATGTTGTGGATGCCATTGACTGACATTGTTATCAATGAAAATGTGATCAATGATGTTGTGGATGCCATTGACCGACATTGTTATCAATGAAAATGTGACCAAGGATGTTGTGGATGATTGACCGACATTGTTACAATAAAAATGTGACCAAGGATGTTGTTGGATGCCTTTGACCGACATTGTTATCAATGAAAATGTGACCAAGGATGTTGTGGATGCCATTGACCGACATTGTTATCAATGAAAATGTGATCAATGATGTTGTGGATGCCATTGACCGACATTGTTATCAATGAAAATGTGATCAATGATGTTGTGGATGCCATTGACCGACATTGTTATCAATGGAAATGTGACCAAGGATGTTGTGGATGCCATTGACCGACATTGTTATCAATGAAAATGTGACCAAGGATGTTGTGGATGCCATTGACCGACATTGTTATCAATGAAAATGTGACCAATGATGTTGTGGATGCCATTGACCGACATTGTTAATGAAAAATGACCAAATGGATGACCGAAGGATATTGAAAGTATGACCAGGATGTTGTGGATGCCATTGACCGACATTGTTATCAATGAAAATGTGACCAAGGATGTTGTGGATGCCATTGACCGACATTGTTATCAATGAAAATGTGACCAATGATGTTGTGGATGCCATTGACCGACATTGTTATCAATGAAAATGTGACCAAGGATGTTGTGGATGCCATTGACCGACATTGTTATCAAAATGTGATCAATGATGTTGTGGATGCCATTGACCGACATTGTTATCAATGAAAATGTGACCAAGGATGTTGTGGATGCCATTGACCGACATTGTTATCAATGAGAATGTGACCAAGGATGTTGTGGATGCCATTGACCGACATTGTTATCAATGAAAATGTGACCAAGGATTGTGGATGCCATTGACCGACATTGTTATCAATGAAAATGTGACCAAGGATGTTGTGGATGCCATTGACCGACATTGTTATCAATGAAAATGTGACCAAGGATGTTGTGGATGCCAATGATTGACTGACATTGTTATCAATGAAAATGAAAATGTTGTGGATGTGATCAATGTGACCAAGGATGTTGTGGATGCCATTGACCGACATTGTTATCAATGAAAATGTGACCAGGATGTTGTGGATGCCATTGACCGACATTGTTATCAATGAAAAAAGGATGTTGTGGATGCCATTGACCGACATTGTTATCAATGAAAAATGACCAAGGATGTTGTGGATGCCATTGACCGACATTGTTATCAATGAAAATGTGACCAATGATGTTGTGGATGCCATTGACCGACATTGTTATCAATGAAAATGTGACCAATGATATTTGTGGATGCCATTGACCGACATTGAAAATTATCAATGAGAATGTGATCAATGATGTTGTGGATGCCATTGACCGACATTGTTATCAATGAAATGTGACCAAGGATGCTGTGGATGCCATTGACCGACATTGTTATCAATGAAAATGTGACCAAGGATGTTGTGGATGCCATTGACCGACATTGTTATCAATGAAAATGTGACCAAGGATGTTGTGGATGCCATTGACCGACATTGTTATCAATGAAATGTGACCAAGGATGTTGTGGTTGCCATTGACCGACATTGTTATCAATGAAAATGTGACCAAGGATGTTGTGGATGCCATTGACCGACATTGTTATCAATGAAAATGTGACCAAGGATGTTGTGGATGCCATTGACCGACATTGTTATCAATGAAAATGAAAAATGTGACATTATCAAGGATGTTGTTGTGGATGCCATTGACCGACATTGTTATCAATGAAAATGTGACCAAGGATGTTGTGGATGCCATTGACCGACATTGTTATCAATAAAATGATCAATGATGTTGTGGATGCCATTGACCGACATTGTTATCAATGAAAATGTGGATGTTGTGGATTTGACCGACATTGTTATCAATGAAATGTGATCAATGATGTTGTGGATGCCATTGACCGACATTGTTATCAATGAAAATGTGACCAAGGATGTTGTGGATGCCATTGACCGACATTGTTATCAATAAAAATGTGATCAATGATGTTGTGGATGCCATTGACCGACATTGTTATCAATGAAAATGTGACCAAGGATGTTGTGGATGCCATTGACCGACATTGTTATCAATGAAAATGTGACCAAGGATGCTGTGGATGCCATTGACCGACATTGTTATCAATGAAAATGTGACCAAGGATGTTGTGGATGCCATTGACCGACATTGTTATCAATGAAAATATGACCAAGGATGTTGTGGATGCCATTGACCGACATTGTTATCAATGAAATGCGACCAAGGATGTTGTGGATGCCATTGACCGACATTGTTATCAATGAAAATGTGACCAAGGATGTTGTGGATGCCATTGACAATGAGAATGTGATCGACATTGTTATCAATGAAAATGTGACCAAGGATGTTGTGGATGCAATTGACCGACATTGTTATCAATGAAAATGTGACCAAGGATGTTGTGGATGACCGACATTGTTATCAATGAAAAATATGACATTGTTATGACCAATGAAAATGTGATGCCAATTGATGTTGTGGATGCCATTGACCGACATTGTTATCAATGAAAATATGACCAAGGATGTTGTGGATGCCATTGACCGACATTGTTATCAATGAAAATGTGACCAAGGATGTTGTGGATGCAATTGACCGACATTGTTATCAATAAAAATGTGATCAATGATGTTGTGGATGCCATTGACCGACATTGTTATCAATGAAAATGTGACCAAGGATGTTGTGGATGCCATTGACCGACATTGTTATCAATGAAAATGTGACCAATGATGTTGTGGATGCCATTGACCGACATTGTTATCAATGAAAATGTGACCAAGGATGTTGTGGATGCCATTGACCGACATTGTTATCAATGAAAATGTGTCCAAGGATGTTGTGGATGCCATTGACCGACATTGTTATCAATGAAATGTGACCAAGGATTGTGGATGCCATTGACCGACATTGTTAAAATGTGACCAAGGATGTTGTGGATGCCATTGACCGACATTGTTATCAATGAAAATGTGACCAAGGATGTTGTGGATGCCATTGACCGACATTGTTATCAATGAAAATGTGACCAATGAAAATATTGACGACATTATCAATGGATGACCAAGGATGTTGTGGATGCCATTGACCGACATTGTTATCAATGAAAATGTGACCAAGGATGTTGACCGACATTGGATGCCATTGACCGACATTGTTATCAATGAAAATGATCAATGATGTTGTGGATGCCATTGACCGACATTGTTATCAATGAAAATGTGATCAAGGAATGCCATTGACCGACATTGTTATCAAGGATGTTGTGGATGCCATTGACCGACATTGTTATCAATGACCAAGGATGTTGTGGAATGACCGACATTGTTATCAAGGATGTTGTGGATGCCATTGACTGACATTGTTATCAATGAAAATGTGACCAAGGATGTTGTGGATGCCATTGACCGACATTGTTATCAATGAAAATGACCAAGGATGTTGTGGATGCCATTGACCGACATTGTTATCAATGAAAAAATGTGACCAAGGATGTTGTGGATGCCATTGACCGACATTGTTATCAATGAAAATGTGACCAAGGATGTTGTGGATGCCATTGACCGACATTGTTATCAATGAAAATGTGACCAAGGATGTTGTGGATGCCATTGACCGACATTGTTATCAATGAAAATGTGACCAAGGATGCTGTGGATGCCATTGACCGACATTGTTATCAATGAAAATGTGACCAAGGATGTTGTGGATGCCATTGACCGACATTGTTATCAATGAAAATGTGACCAAGGATGTGTGGATGCCATTGACCGACATTGTTATCAATGTGACCAAGGATGTTGTGGATGCCATTGACCGACATTGTTATCAATGAAAATGTGACCAAGGATGTTGTGGATGCCATTGACCGACATTGTTATCAATGAAAATGTGACCAAGGATGTTGTGGATGCCATTGACCGACATTGTTATCAATGAAAATGTGACCAAGGATGTTGTGGATTATTGACCGACATTGTTATCAATGAAAATGTGATCAATGATGTTGTGGATGCCATTGACCGACATTGTTATAAATGAAAATGACCAAGGATGTTGTGGATGCCATTGACCGACATTGTTATCAATGAAAATATGATCAATGATGTTGTGGATGCCATTGACCGACATTGTTATCAATGAAAATGACCAAATGTTGTGGATGCCATTGACCGACATTGTTATCAATGAAAATGACCAAGGATGTTGTGGATGCCATTGACCGACATTGTTATCAATGAAAATGTGACCAAGGATGTTGTGGATGCCATTGACCGACATTGTTATCAATGAAAATGTGACCAAGGATGTTGTGGATGCCATTGACCGACATTGTTATCAATGAAAATGTGATCAAGGATGTTGTGGATGCCATTGACCGACATTGTTATCAATGAAAATGTGACCAAGGATGTTGTGGATGCCATTTGACCAATGAAAATGTGACAAGGATTGTGGATCAATGACCGACAAAATGAAAATGTGACCAAGGATGTTGTGGATGCCATTGACCGACATTGTTATCAATGAAAATGATCAATGATGGATGCCATTGACCGACATTGTTATCAATGAAAATGTGACCAAGGATGTTGTGGATGCCATTGACCGACATTGTTATCAATGGAATGTTGTGGATGCCATTGACCGACATTGTTATCAATGAAAAAATGTGACCAAGGAAGGATGTTGTGGATGCCATTGACCGACATTGTTATCAATGAAAATGTGACCAAGGATGTTGTGGATGCCATTGACCCATTGTTATCAATGAAAATTATCAATGAAAATGTGACGACCAAGGATGTTGTGGATGCCATTGACCGACATTGTTATCAATGAAAATGTGACCAAGGATGTTGGATGCCATTGACCGACATTGTTATCAATGAAAATGTGACCAAGGATGTTGTGGATGCCATTGACCGACATTGTTATCAATGAAAATGTGACCAAGGATGTTGTGGATGCCATTGACCGACATTGTTATCAATGAAAATGTGACCAAGGATGTTGGATGCCATTGACCGACATTGTTATCAATGAAAATGTGACCAATGATGTTGTGGATGCCATTGACCGACATTGTTATCAATGAAAATGTGACCAAGGATGTTGTGGATGCCATTGACCGACATTGTTATCAATGAAAATGTGACCAAGGATGTTGTGGATGCCATTGACCGACATTGTTATTATGAAAATGAAGGATGTGGATGCCAAGGATGTTGTTGGATGAAAATGTGACCAAGGATGTTGTGGACATTGACCGACATTGTTATCAATGAAAATGTGACCAAGGATGTTGTGGATGCCATTGACCGACATTGTTATCAATGAAAATGAAAATGTGACCAAGGATGTTGTGGATGCCATTGACCGACATTGTTATCAATGAAAATGTGACCAAGGATGTTGTGGATGCCATTGACCGACATTGTTATCAATGAAAAATGTGACCAAGGATGGATACCATTGGACATTGTTATCAATGAAAATTGACCAAGGACATTGTGGATGCCATTGACCGACATTGTTATCAATGAAAATGTGACCAAGGATGTTGTGGATGCCATTGACCGACATTGTTATCAATGAAAATGTGACCAAGGATGTTGTGGATGCCATTGACCGACATTGTTATCAATGAAAATGTGACCAAGGATGTTGTGGATGCCATTGACCGACATTTGCCAATAAAATTATCAATGATGACCAACATTTTATCAAAAATGTGACCAATGATATTTGTGGATGCCATTGACCGACATTGTTATCAATGAAATGTGACCAAGGATGTTGTGGATGCCATTGACCGACATTGTTATCAATGAAAATGTGACCAAGGATGTTGTGGATGCCATTGACCGACATTGTTATCACGGAAAATGTGACCAAGGATGTTGTGGATGCCATTGACCGGACATTGTTATCAATGAAAATGTGACCAAGGATGTTGTGGATGCCATTGACCGACATTGTTATCAATGAAAATGTGACCAAGGATGTTGTGGATGCCATTGACTGACATTGTTATCAATGAAAATGTGACCAAGGATGTTGTGGATGCCATTGACCGACATTGTTATCAAATGACCAGGATTGATGCCATTGACATTGTTATCAATGAGAATGATCAATGATGTTGGGGGATGCCATTGACCGACATTGTTATCAATGAAAATGTGACCAGGAGGAT